TGGCTAATGCGCAGTAACTTTTAACTGATCGGATCGGCCTCTCTTGTTAACCGCCGATAAACGTTTAGCCCTCCGGGTTGTTGCACATTATACCGCCTAGTCAGTATTACCGTATGTTGGAGATACAGTTAATCCGCATCTTCAGTCGCGGTTTTTGTGCATCAAAGGAGAATTCTATATGCAGTTTATAGGCCATAGATTATCGTAAAAAATACAGAATTTTGGTCTATAAATTCAGTCGACAGTAGTGGTCTATGACCTTATGGGCATGAAAGCCGGGCCGACTATAGCTCAATGATCCAAAAACCACAATTCTATCCAGTTAGACTTCTTTATACCCAATATTCGGGTAACAAAACAATCGATATCTTACGAACGTTCACTTTTGTTGCATCAGCTAAGAGAGCTTTTGATGGCTTTTGAAACGTTAGGTAGTCTTTTTACTTGAACATCCATCTGAATAAGCTCTTATATTCTTATTAAAATTCCTCTGTAGATGACCTCGTCTTATTTGACGGACAGTCCTAAGGATGACACCGCCAGATTATCATCACAGGTAACACACAAATAACTTTCACAAAGTTTTATCAAACTTTGGCTACATTCCTCCCAATGATGTGAAACTAATGACCTCTGTGACTCTATTTCAGAAGAAGCTGCCGCTAGCTGGTAAAGTGAGCTACAGCAAGACCAAGAGTTCTGGGTCAGTTCCAGTGCTACCTACGGTTCCAGCGGGACTAGACGGCGACAAAAGGGTTTGTCCTGTTGTTAAATCATGTTATTTTATGATGCTGCGCCCCACTTAGCAAGTTATAAACAGAGAATACAAATTTTTTTTCAAAAAGAAATAAGGTGTACACTGTACAACATTCAATTAGGGAAAATTTATTAATTAAAATGTAAATCGAGTTTTGCAAATTCGATAGGTCTCGGACAATCTATCATATTCATAATAAATTACATGTACAGATTGATAAATAGAGATAAATTTCGGATAATATTGTTCAGTATTTGTATCCGTAAACACCATCCCACTGGGGATCGTAGGGCTCCATCCAGAACTTTCTGAAAAGATGCACCAGCTCTGATCGTTCCAGTCGTCCACTCTTGTCAGTGTCAGCCTTCTCGAAGAAGGTATAAGCAGCCTCTTGGGGCACATCAAAGGCTTTCATCATGGTCTTAAGCTCTGCAATATCGACGGTACCATCACCGTCATCATCCAGGACATCGTAGTAGGCGTTGGAGAGTAGGGCAATCATGGAGGGTTCACCACGTCGTCCCCTTTCTCTCTCGGCCTCAGCGAAGACCCTGTTGGCCTCTACCCAGTCCTCTCGAGTCAGGCCGGTCTCTGGATGTACTCCTTTGTTGAGGAAGAAAATGTGGACAGCCTCTCTCATCTTCTCGACCTGTTCGTCAGTAGCGTTGACCAACTGCCTCATCCTGTCGGGCCAGTAGAGGATCTCTTCCATCATCATCTTGCCGTCACTGTCGAGGTCGAAGGTGTCGAATCTCTTGTAGAGTCGTTGGAGCATCTTTGGGTGAACGTCCTCAACGTTGTACTGCCAGCCGTTTCCGACACTCCTCAGGTAACTGTAGCTCTCGTTGTTTTGCTCGTTGAGTCCAGGCATCTTTTGACGGAATTGAATCTTCAGCTAAAGTAGAGAGGGATTATTAGAGAATGGAAAAAACTGCAAGTGGTGCTTTTCATATCTTGAATCAAATGGTATATAATATGAGTAGAAATTTGGCATCACAAATAAGGTATCAATGATATTGAGGAATAGGGAAGCGGCACAAAAATGAACCGAAGAGATCAATGAGACATCAGAAATAAGGCATCAAAAGTAAAATATCATAAAATCAATAAATTGGGCAACAAAAAGGGTAATGAAAAATGGGGTAGTGTGCAAGTACGACCGGTCGTCAGATGACCATGTCGTTTGATCGGAAGTAACATGTATTGTACTCTGAATGAGAAGTAAAGTTGAAGTTGGGGTAATTGTTCAGTATTTGTATCCGTAAACACCATCCCACTGGGGATCGTAGGGCTCCATCCAGAACTTTCTGAAAAGATGCACCAGCTCTGATCGTTCCAGTCGTCCACTCTTGTCAGTGTCAGCCTTCTCGAAGAAGGTATAAGCAGCCTCTTGGGGCACATCAAAGGCTTTCATCATGGTCTTAAGCTCTGCAATATCGACGGTACCATCACCGTCATCATCCAGGACATCGTAGTAGGCGTTGGAGAGTAGGGCAATCATGGAGGGTTCACCACGTCGTCCCCTTTCTCTCTCGGCCTCAGCGAAGACCCTGTTGGCCTCTACCCAGTCCTCTCGAGTCAGGCCGGTCTCTGGATGTACTCCTTTGTTGAGGAAGAAAATGTGGACAGCCTCTCTCATCTTCTCGACCTGTTCGTCAGTAGCGTTGACCAACTGCCTCATCCTGTCGGGCCAGTAGAGGATCTCTTCCATCATCATCTTGCCGTCACTGTCGAGGTCGAAGGTGTCGAATCTCTTGTAGAGTCGTTGGAGCATCTTTGGGTGAACGTCCTCAACGTTGTACTGCCAGTCGTTTCCGACACTCCTCAGGTAACTGTAGCTCTCGTTGTTTTGCTCGTTGAGTCCAGGCATCTTTTGACGGAATTGAATCTTCAGCTAAAGTAGAGAGGGATTATTAGAGAATGGAAAAAACTGCAAGTGGTGCTTTTCATATCTTGAATCAAATGGTATATAATATGAGTAGGAATTTGGCATCACAAATAAGGTATCAATGATATTGAGGAATAGGGAAGCGGCACAAAGATGAACCGAAGAGATCAATGAGACATCAGAAATAAGGCATCAAAAGTAAAATATCATAAAATCAATAAATTGGGCAACAAAAAGGGTAATGAAAAATGGGGTAGTGTGCAAGTACGACCGGTCGTCAGATGACCATGTCGTTTGATCGGAAGTAACATGTATTGTACTCTGAATGAGAAATAAAGTTGAAGTTGGGGTAATTGTTCAGCATTTGTATCCGTAAACACCATCCCACTGGGGATCGTAGGGCTCCATCCAGAACTTTCTGAAAAGATGCACCAGCTCTGATCGTTCCAGTCGTCCACTCTTGTCAGTGTCAGCCTTCTCGAAGAAGGTATAAGCAGCCTCTTGAGGCACATCAAAGGCTTTCATCATGGTCTTAAGCTCTGCAATATCGACGGTACCATCACCGTCATCATCCAGGACATCGTAGTAGGCGTTGGAGAGTAGGGCAATCATGGAGGGTTCACCACGTCGTCCCCTTTCTCTCTCGGCCTCAGCGAAGACCCTGTTGGCCTCTACCCAGTCCTCTCGAGTCAGGCCGGTCTCTGGATGTACTCCTTTGTTGAGGAAGAAAATGTGGACAGCCTCTCTCATCTTCTCGACCTGTTCGTCAGTAGCGTTGACCAACTGCCTCATCCTGTCGGGCCAGTAGAGGATCTCTTCCATCATCATCTTGCCGTCACTGTCGAGGTCGAAGGTGTCGAATCTCTTGTAGAGTCGTTGGAGCATCTTGGGGTGAACGTCCTCAACGTTGTACTGCCAGTCGTTTCCGACACTCCTCAGGTAACTGTAGCTCTCGTTGTTTTGCTCGTTGAGTCCAGGCATCTTTTGACGGAATTGAATCTTCAGCTAAAGTAGAGAGGGATTATTAGAGAATGGAAAAAACTGCAAGTGGTGCTTTTCATATCTTGAATCAAATGGTATATAATATGAGTAGAAATTTGGCATCACAAATAAGGTATCAATGATATTGAGGAATAGGGAAGCGGCACAAAGATGAACCGAAGAGATCAATGAGACATCAGAAATAAGGCATCAAAAGTAAAATATCATAAAATCAATAAATTGGGCAACAAAAAGGGTAATGAAAAATGGGGTAGTGTGCAAGTACGACCGGTCGTCAGATGACCATGTCGTTTGATCGGAAGTAACATGTATTGTACTCTGAATGAGAAATAAAGTTGAAGTTGGGGTAATTGTTCAGTATTTGTATCCGTAAACACCATCCCACTGGGGATCGTAGGGCTCCATCCAGAACTTTCTGAAAAGATGCACCAGCTCTGATCGTTCCAGTCGTCCACTCTTGTCAGTGTCAGCCTTCTCGAAGAAGGTATAAGCAGCCTCTTGGGGCACATCAAAGGCTTTCATCATGGTCTTAAGCTCTGCAATATCGACGGTACCATCACCGTCATCATCCAGGACATCGTAGTAGGCGTTGGAGAGTAGGGCAATCATGGAGGGTTCACCACGTCGTCCCCTTTCTCTCTCGGCCTCAGCGAAGACCCTGTTGGCCTCTACCCAGTCCTCTCGAGTCAGGCCGGTCTCTGGATGTACTCCTTTGTTGAGGAAGAAAATGTGGACAGCCTCTCTCATATTCTCGACCTGTTCGTCAGTAGCGTTGACCAACTGCCTCATCCTGTCGGGCCAGTAGAGGATCTCTTCCATCATCATCTTGCCGTCACTGTCGAGGTCGAAGGTGTCGAATCTCTTGTAGAGTCGTTGGAGCATCTTTGGGTGAACGTCCTCAACGTTGTACTGCCAGTCGTTTCCGACACTCCTCAGGTAACTGTAGCTCTCGTTGTTTTGCTCGTTGAGTCCAGGCATCTTTTGACGGAATTGAATCTTCAGCTAAAGTAGAGAGGGATTATTAGAGAATGGAAAAAACTGCAAGTGGTGCTTTTCATATCTTGAATCAAATGGTATATAATATGAGTAGGAATTTGGCATCACAAATAAGGTATCAATGATATTGAGGAATAGGGAAGCGGCACAAAGATGAACCGAAGAGATCAATGAGACATCAGAAATAAGGCATCAAAAGTAAAATATCATAAAATCAATAAATTGGGCAACAAAAAGGGTAATGAAAAATGGGGTAGTGTGCAAGTACGACCGGTCGTCAGATGACCATGTCGTTTGATCGGAAGTAACATGTATTGTACTCTGAATGAGAAATAAAGTTGAAGTTGGGGTAATTGTTCAGTATTTGTATCCGTAAACACCATCCCACTGGGGATCGTAGGGCTCCATCCAGAACTTTCTGAAAAGATGCACCAGCTCTGATCGTTCCAGTCGTCCACTCTTGTCAGTGTCAGCCTTCTCGAAGAAGGTATAAGCAGCCTCTTGGGGCACATCAAAGGCTTTCATCATGGTCTTAAGCTCTGCAATATCGACGGTACCATCACCGTCATCATCCAGGACATCGTAGTAGGCGTTGGAGAGTAGGGCAATCATGGAGGGTTCACCACGTCGTCCCCTTTCTCTCTCGGCCTCAGCGAAGACCCTGTTGGCCTCTACCCAGTCCTCTCGAGTCAGGCCGGTCTCTGGATGTACTCCTTTGTTGAGGAAGAAAATGTGGACAGCCTCTCTCATATTCTCGACCTGTTCGTCAGTAGCGTTGACCAACTGCCTCATCCTGTCGGGCCAGTAGAGGATCTCTTCCATCATCATCTTGCCGTCACTGTCGAGGTCGAAGGTGTCGAATCTCTTGTAGAGTCGTTGGAGCATCTTTGGGTGAACGTCCTCAACGTTGTACTGCCAGTCGTTTCCGACACTCCTCAGGTAACTGTAGCTCTCGTTGTTTTGCTCGTTGAGTCCAGGCATCTTTTGACGGAATTGAATCTTCAGCTAAAGTAGAGAGGGATTATTAGAGAATGGAAAAAACTGCAAGTGGTGCTTTTCATATCTTGAATCAAATGGTATATAATATGAGTAGGAATTTGGCATCACAAATAAGGTATCAATGATATTGAGGAATAGGGAAGCGGCACAAAGATGAACCGAAGAGATCAATGAGACATCAGAAATAAGGCATCAAAAGTAAAATATCATAAAATCAATAAATTGGGCAACAAAAAGGGTAATGAAAAATGGGGTAGTGTGCAAGTACGACCGGTCGTCAGATGACCATGTCGTTTGATCGGAAGTAACATGTATTGTACTCTGAATGAGAAATAAAGTTGAAGTTGGGGTAATTGTTCAGTATTTGTATCCGTAAACACCATCCCACTGGGGATCGTAGGGCTCCATCCAGAACTTTCTGAAAAGATGCACCAGCTCTGATCGTTCCAGTCGTCCACTCTTGTCAGTGTCAGCCTTCTCGAAGAAGGTATAAGCAGCCTCTTGGGGCACATCAAAGGCTTTCATCATGGTCTTAAGCTCTGCAATATCGACGGTACCATCACCGTCATCATCCAGGACATCGTAGTAGGCGTTGGAGAGTAGGGCAATCATGGAGGGTTCACCACGTCGTCCCCTTTCTCTCTCGGCCTCAGCGAAGACCCTGTTGGCCTCTACCCAGTCCTCTCGAGTCAGGCCGGTCTCTGGATGTACTCCTTTGTTGAGGAAGAAAATGTGGACAGCCTCTCTCATATTCTCGACCTGTTCGTCAGTAGCGTTGACCAACTGCCTCATCCTGTCGGGCCAGTAGAGGATCTCTTCCATCATCATCTTGCCGTCACTGTCGAGGTCGAATGTGTCGAATCTCTTGTAGAGTCGTTGGAGCATCTTTGGGTGAACGTCCTCAACGTTGTACTGCCAGTCGTTTCCGACACTCCTCAGGTAACTGTAGCTCTCGTTGTTTTGCTCGTTGAGTCCAGGCATCTTTTGACGGAATTGAATCTTCAGCTAAAGTAGAGAGGGATTATTAGAGAATGGAAAAAACTGCAAGTGGTGCTTTTCATATCTTGAATCAAATGGTATATAATATGAGTAGAAATTTGGCATCACAAATAAGGTATCAATGATATTGAGGAATAGGGAAGCGGCACAAAGATGAACCGAAGAGATCAATGAGACATCAGAAATAAGGCATCAAAAGTAAAATATCATAAAATCAATAAATTGGGCAACAAAAAGGGTAATGAAAAATGGGGTAGTGTGCAAGTACGACCGGTCGTCAGATGACCATGTCGTTTGATCGGAAGTAACATGTATTGTACTCTGAATGAGAAATAAAGTTGAAGTTGGGGTAATTGTTCAGTATTTGTATCCGTAAACACCATCCCACTGGGGATCGTAGGGCTCCATCCAGAACTTTCTGAAAAGATGCACCAGCTCTGATCGTTCCAGTCGTCCACTCTTGTCAGTGTCAGCCTTCTCGAAGAAGGTATAAGCAGCCTCTTGGGGCACATCAAAGGCTTTCATCATGGTCTTAAGCTCTGCAATATCGACGGTACCATCACCGTCATCATCCAGGACATCGTAGTAGGCGTTGGAGAGTAGGGCAATCATGGAGGGTTCACCACGTCGTCCCCTTTCTCTCTCGGCCTCAGCGAAGACCCTGTTGGCCTCTACCCAGTCCTCTCGAGTCAGGCCGGTCTCTGGATGTACTCCTTTGTTGAGGAAGAAAATGTGGACAGCCTCTCTCATATTCTCGACCTGTTCGTCAGTAGCGTTGACCAACTGCCTCATCCTGTCGGGCCAGTAGAGGATCTCTTCCATCATCATCTTGCCGTCACTGTCGAGGTCGAAGGTGTCGAATCTCTTGTAGAGTCGTTGGAGCATCTTTGGGTGAACGTCCTCAACGTTGTACTGCCAGTCGTTTCCGACACTCCTCAGGTAACTGTAGCTCTCGTTGTTTTGCTCGTTGAGTCCAGGCATCTTTTGACGGAATTGAATCTTCAGCTAAAGTAGAGAGGGATTATTAGAGAATGGAAAAAACTGCAAGTGGTGCTTTTCATATCTTGAATCAAATGGTATATAATATGAGTAGAAATTTGGCATCACAAATAAGGTATCAATGATATTGAGGAATAGGGAAGCGGCACAAAGATGAACCGAAGAGATCAATGAGACATCAGAAATAAGGCATCAAAAGTAAAATATCATAAAATCAATAAATTGGGCAACAAAAAGGGTAATGAAAAATGGGGTAGTGTGCAAGTACGACCGGTCGTCAGATGACCATGTCGTTTGATCGGAAGTAACATGTATTGTACTCTGAATGAGAAGTAAAGTTGAAGTTGGGGTAATTGTTCAGTATTTGTATCCGTAAACACCATCCCACTGGGGATCGTAGGGCTCCATCCAGAACTTTCTGAAAAGATGCACCAGCTCTGATCGTTCCAGTCGTCCACTCTTGTCAGTGTCAGCCTTCTCGAAGAAGGTATAAGCAGCCTCTTGGGGCACATCAAAGGCTTTCATCATGGTCTTAAGCTCTGCAATATCGACGGTACCATCACCGTCATCATCCAGGACATCGTAGTAGGCGTTGGAGAGTAGGGCAATCATGGAGGGTTCACCACGTCGTCCCCTTTCTCTCTCGGCCTCAGCGAAGACCCTGTTGGCCTCTACCCAGTCCTCTCGAGTCAGGCCGGTCTCTGGATGTACTCCTTTGTTGAGGAAGAAAATGTGGACAGCCTCTCTCATCTTCTCGACCTGTTCGTCAGTAGCGTTGACCAACTGCCTCATCCTGTCGGGCCAGTAGAGGATCTCTTCCATCATCATCTTGCCGTCACTGTCGAGGTCGAAGGTGTCGAATCTCTTGTAGAGTCGTTGGAGCATCTTTGGGTGAACGTCCTCAACGTTGTACTGCCAGCCGTTTCCGACACTCCTCAGGTAACTGTAGCTCTCGTTGTTTTGCTCGTTGAGTCCAGGCATCTTTTGACGGAATTAAATCTTCAGCTAAAGTAGAGAGGGATTAAACGAGACAAACGTTAACAATCGATTGTTATTGAAAGTGAAACTGACTTAACTACTACAAAGTAGAAAACTGGAAGTGATACTTTGGAGAGAAAGTGCCCTTGCTTTTATATCCCGATCCCTGTTCATCGTTAATGATAATCTCGTCGGGTTAATGTATCAATTAATTAATTATAATTATAATATCCTGGAACTCTTATCGATAACCGATCGAATGTTTATCACTCTTGTAATCGTAATTTGTGACGATCAATTAGTGACATTTGACTCAGGGTAATTAATTAGTATGATTAAGAGTGATACTCCGTTTAGTGTTACGTAATTGATCAATATCATCAATGCGCATAATTAATATCATTAATGCGCATATGATCAGTTGACAGGTCGGATATCTTGCTATACTGCTCTGACAAGTATTTGTCTACCTGGACTGGTAATGGGAAATAAGTAGCAAAGAAAAGGTGACAGGCATAATAGCTTACATCTATGAACTCATGAAATAGATTATTAAAGTTTTTGTTCTTGTGATTGAAGGTATAAACTGAACAGGACCTTGTTTCAGTTGCGGATCAACGTTTCAGGAACACATTACGAGTTATGGGAAAGTGTGGTTAAGCTACAGCCGGAAACTCTACTCGCCTCCAACCACTTCCAAGCTTACTGGGACGACCGGTCAGTCCCAGATTAATACTTTATATAGTCAGATAATTGTTTATATTCAATTTCAAGATATAATACATACATCAACTGCATTTTGAGGCTGCTCGTGAATGTTTTTACAACCAAAAACATGTTCCAGGTATAACGAGTATTTTATAGACCGTAACAGAGAGATGTTCGAATGTGTGTTTAACTTTTACCGGACCGGGGATCTGTGCTTCCCAGTCGACCTGCCCAGCGAGGTTATTATGGATGAGGTCAGGTTCTACTGGTTGGAAAATATTTTTGATCATATTGACGATGAGGAGGAGGTAAGGATTATGAAAGATTTTAAAAGTTGTAGACCTTTTGAGCCTCTGATTAAGTTTATGTGATAACCTGCTCGCGGTTCAAGAAATTTCGTTTATACTTGCACATTTATTCTCGAGTGTGTTCTATGAAAGCTGCCCTTTCTTGTTGTTGATATGGAATATCATGATTGGTACCACTTCCAGGGGGACCAGTCAGAGAGACGGGTATTCCCAGATACACTCCGAGGTAAAGTTGACAGCACCCGACACTTTCTGTGGATAGTCGTCACTGAACCCAAGTACAACAAACTGGCTACAGTGTACGCCTGGTGCGATCAACTCTTCATCTTTGTGTCCATCCTCGGGATGATCATTGAGACTATACCGGGGGTTAAGAGTAAAGTTGATGATGAGAATATCCTGGGATCTGTAAGATATTTGATATGTTAATTGTTTTTTTTTTCCGACTATACGGACAATCTATTTTCTTGAATGTAACGAAGGTTCCTGTGTAATCCTCACTGGTTTGATTATGCTACTATGAAATAACCGTTTCCTCTTTAAGTCGTTACTGTAACTAATCTTTCCCCAGACAGAAGGGGCAGCTCTATTTTACGCTGAGTTATGTACAACTTGTTTCTTCACTCTTGACGTGGTTATGAGGTTCGCAACAACTGAAAACCCTGGAAAACTCATCTCTTCCATCATGACTTGGATTGATATTATGAGTGTTCTGCCGTTTTACATTCAGGTAAACTGTCAAATGTTGTATGGTTTTCAGCGTACCTGGTGCGGACTTTTACCTGTTCAATATTTTAGCCTTTCGTCATTTTAAACATTCAGAATATCGCTAATTTTGTTTTCATGTCATAAAGTCATAACTGAACATTAGTGAATTTCAGAATTGTCTAAAGATTTCAAAAAACAATATATCATACCTACGAGTGATCAGATTGGCAAGGGTCTTCAGAATGTTTAAACTGTTTAGGAGGAGCAAGAAGCTCGCACTTATTGCCCTCAGTCTGAAGCGGTCAGGTAAAATAATATGCAGTCTGAAGCAGTCAGGTAAAATAATATGTCGCACTTATTGCCCTCAGTCTGAAGCGGTCAGGTAAAATAATATGTCGCACTTATTGTGACAGTCTGTTAATAATATGCAGTCTGAAGTGGTCAGGTAATATAATATGTCGCTCTTATTGCCCTCAGTCTGAAGCGGTCAGGTAAAATAATATGCAGTCTGAAGCGGTCAGGTAAAATAATATGTCGCACTTATTTCCCTCAGTCTGAAGCGGTCAGGTAAAATAATATGTCGCACTTATTTCCCTCAGTCTGAAGCGGTCAGGTAAAATAATATGTCGCACTTATTGCCCTCAGTCTGAAGCGGTCAGGTAAAATAATATGTCGCACTTATTGCCCTCAGTCTGAAGCAGTCAGGTAAAATAATATGTCGCACTTATTGCGACAGTCTGTTAATAATATGCAGTCTGAAGCGGCCAGGTAAAATAATATGTCGCACTTATTGCCCTCAGTCTGAAGCGGTCAGGTAAAATAATATGTCGCACTTATTGCCCTCAGTCTGAAGCGGTCAGGTAAAATAATATGTCGCCCTTAGTGCCCTCAGCCTGAAGCGGTCAGGTAAAATAATATGCAGTCTGAAGCGGTCAGGTAAAATAATATGCAGTCTGAAGCGGTCAGGTAAAATAATATGATTTCGAATTTTGATATCAATTTCTGAGATTATTCGCACCAATCTATTTGTATTTCAATATCACTAATGACAATATCTTCAATTATTAAAATTAAACTTAATTAAATGTGTTTCGCTTCAAAAGTCGAATAATTTGTGCGATTCAAAATATCGCTACAAATTCTGACAGTTTTTAAATTTCAGCATCAGAGTTAATACTGTTTGTTCTGGTGTGGGGTCTAGGAGTAATAATATTCAGTGTTATTATGTACTACGCTGAGGGCCAGCAAAACCCTAAAATGGACAGCATCCTCGCTACTTGGTTAGATACTCCCATTTTAGAT